CCCCAAAACCCCAAAACCCCAAAACCCCAAAACCCCGTAGAGTCAAAATTTATATAAGTTAGATTATAAAGAAATCTAAAATATAATTGCTAAAGTTTTATAAAATTCTATGGGTTGCTCACAAACAAAACCTGTAAAATTATACTTCCTTTGATTTTAATAAATTTACCAATTTTAAACTTATATTAGACTTCTACTTTGAAATCTAATCCTAATAGACATCTTCAAGATATTAAAATCCCCAATAGCTCGAGTAAATGATAAACTTATAACACATTTTGAATTAAAACCATTTTTCAATTAGCTTAACTATTTCTATGTAGATAACCAGCCTCCTTCACCCGCGGAGATACTAGGAAGTAAAGAGGACATATAGCTTCAGATCAATGTTTGCAGTGACAACATAACTTCACTTGATATCAAAATTAGATCAGCTCAAGACGAGAAATTTTGAACAGAAAAAAAATTAGAAATTGGCATAGATAATGTAAATTTCTTGAAATAATTAAGCTTTTAATAGAATATGGATAATTTCTAATTGTAAAATCTTGCAAAGGACATCAAGGGAATAGAGATTAAACTAGTAGAGTATTCCATCTAGAGAAATAATCTTTAAGATTTAAAAAAACAATTAGAGACAAAATTGACAAGAATCTAATATGGAGAGGTGACTCATTAAGGCTAGCAAGTTGCTAAATAAGACAACTTCTTTGATCAAACTGAAGTAATGAGAAATCAAGCAAGGGAAATCGTGAGATTAGATAAGTAGCAAGAAGAAGGAAGAAATGCTGTTTAAGCTATTCATTATGAAAAGAACAAGGAAGCTGATGATTTGGTTGAATAAATGAGAAAAAAGAAGAATAACTAAAACCAACCTCCTGCAAACTAGAGTTCAAATCAAAATTAGAACAATTTTGTCTAAAACTAGAACTCAATTAATTAATAGAATAGTTATCCTCCTGTAGGAGTATATCCGTATAACTATCAGGTTCATGATCCACCTCAAGACCCGAATTATGGTCACAATGGTAAGATTAAATAATGAAAAATATTATAGTTGCACCATTACCAATGATGAACATAAATGGAGGAGTCCCAGTGAATGTTAACGTCACAGTTAACCAAAATGGTCAGCCAATTAACCTAGTTTGAAATAGAGAGGGGGCCCTAACAACTAATATTATGTTATGTATTTTTCTAAGTTTTGGTTTTATACATTCTCATTTGGAATTCTTTATAAACCATAATTTAAGTTGAATAATTAATATGATTCTTATATCCAATCAAATTTCAATGCTCGGGGTTTTGGGGTTTTGGGGTTTTGGGG